GTCTTGCTTGAAATGACTGAAATAATAACCGTTTTCAGAGTAAACAAAGTCCTTCGTAAATCCTTGTAATGTCCTTAAAAAGCTGAGCAATCAACCAGATACTGCACAAAGGCTAGAATGTTGTCTTCATCGTCACGATACAAACTGAAATTGAAGGTTACAAAGGATCGCCCGATTCGGATGACCGCTGACCTTTTAGCATGACTCGCGCGTGACATAAAAAAATAATGTATTTCATAGTTTGAGTGATAACGTGAACACTCAAATTTTGAGCTTGTGGGTATACAGGTTTCCAATTGACATCCTGAAGAAATTTAATGAGCCATACGACAAACTCTCATCTTGGCAGATCAAGCGTGCAAGAGCTCACGAGCTCATAATTTTTATCTCCCGCGTTCATGTTCTGCGATTGTGCTACCCACAAACGTATCATGTACCAGAACAGGGGTGGGGTGGGGAAACGTATGAAAATCGTTTAGGTTTTCAACAAGTGTGATGGCGGCTTGTACCTCACGTGACCAAACTAATAGGCCATTCACTTTACCTCTGTTTAAAAACATGCAGGTCCTGGTGCGTTACCTTTCATATGAAAATTACAAAGTGATCAGCTTCTAATGAAACTGTGGTACGGTGCTGCGTCAGCGGGAAAGTGAAACACTATGTTGATTATCAACTCAGAGTTGATAAAGGTAAATTAACCGCCGTAGCGAATTTCTAAAAGCTGACATTTCGAGTGTTAGCCCTCCGACGAAGGGCTAACACTCGAAACGTCAGCTTTTAGAAATTCGCTACGGCGGTTAATTTACCTTCATCAACTCCGAGTTGATAATCAACGTAGCATATGGAAATTAGTTCCGTTCGCTTGTTCATTGTTATACAAATCCAACACATTTGCATTTTGCATTTGCCAGTTGCCTTTCAGAGGCAACTGGCAACTAAGAAATGGGTAAATTACTAGAATGAATATTCCAAAATCAGATGGGACACTTTGTGATGTACAATAGCACCCCGTTAGCCTGAAAATGGTTAGCTTTCCAATTTTGTGGGTTGGGTAACGCTGATCTGAATTTGGTGTATCCTAGTCACAACCCATGGAAATGACGTATTCTACACTTCAATATCCTAATGTTAGCCAGCTACCTAAAAATATTGATGCTGATTTGTCTGCTAAATAAAACCTAATAAAGCTTTTGAAGTAACAAAGAAATCTATATTTTTATACTTCCATACATTTCCCTCACAACTGACCTATTACCTATACAGGAGTAAAACGCAGGAGTCGGCTTAAAAAATCGTCCATTCTACTGCTGTCAAAATATCGAATAATATTGGAAAGTGTGAAACACAAAACTCCTAAAGTGTAGTGGAAATATCTTTGAAATCTACATGTGTAATAAAAATGTTAGGTGAAACTTATTGAATTGGGCTGCCACTATCAGCAGCGCCTGATTGCAGTTTCAGTCTGATGTCAAGTGCACGCTGTGCTGACTGAAGAGCTGATGTAAAGTCACCTTGTGCATGTTGTTATGACCTCGAGTGAATCGTAACTATCAGCTGTGTCTGAATGTTCTTCTCCAAACAGTTTCAGTCTGATGTCAAGTGCACGCTGTTTAGACTGAAGAGCTGAGGTAAAGTCGCCCTGTGCATGTTGTGTTGCCCCGAGTGTATGGTAACTATCAGCTGTGTCCTGAGTGTTCTTCTCCAAACAGTTTTCAGTCTGATGTCAGGTGCACGCTGTGTAGACTGAAGAGCTGAGGTAAAGTCGCCTTGTGCATGTTGTGTGGCCCCGAGTGAATGGTAACTACCAGCTGTGCTTGAGTGTTCTTCTCCAAACAGTTTCAGTCTGGTGTCAAGTGCACGCTGTGTAGACTGAAGAGCTGAGGTAAAAGTCACCTTGTGCATGTTGTGTCCTCCCGAGTAAATAGTAACTATCAGCTGTTCTTGATTGTTCTTCTCCAAATAGTTTCAGTTTAATGTCAAGCGCACGCTGGTCTGACTGAAGAGCTTCTGAGTAGTTTTGCATATTGTGTTGAATGTTGGCATGGTCCATGCAGCTCCTTGCTAGCGCTTCTTGATGTAGTGCGGGACTTATCGTTGAGTTTTCCTCGCTATTTGGGAAGTTCTCTTTTCTACTTTTGTATTGCTTGAGTTCCGATTCATGATAACTGATTCCTTGCTGCGGACAATTTGGCTGCGTCTTCAAGTTTGCTTGACACAGACCGTAGTATTGCAGTGACATTGCGCTGAAAATGAAATAAATCAACTGAACTTGGATGGACGGTTTTTTCGAATTATTTTGCTATATTTAGTGTAGCGTTTCTTACAGATTGCTTGGTTTCAGTATTGGATTATTTTTTTTCCAGGCTTCGCTTACAATATAAATAATTTCTAATTTTAGTGGCTGATTGATTAAAGTGCCGGGGTTTCTTTGTGACATCTCTTCATCGTCATCTTTCTTTCCTGTGGCTTTCCATTGCAGGAATAACAAGTAGTTGTGTGTCTCCCGCTGCTCGGCATTCCTGAACTGCCTTGTTGTAGAATTGTGACATGCTTGAGGAGTTTTTTTTGAAGCGATAATAAATAGCAAGGATCTGAAACGCAATAATTTTTAGAATCCTCTGCTCGGGGTTTCCATTCATCATTAAAGAAAGAGCCTCATGTAAGCATTGAACTCCGTCCTCTGTTTTTGCCGAGAACAAGTTTATAGATGCCATTATAGCACAAGTGAGTTTCCTTTATCACCAACCGAAATTGCGGAACATGAAGCTTCAATATCCTTCGCGTCCGAGAGGAGCTGCATCGTTCTTCCTTTTGCTCCCCATGTTACTTCACCAATCAGCAGGGCCCGCGCAGCACTTTTTTGAGTGGGGGAGGGGGGGGGGGGGCTAATGCGAACGCGTGAGCGTCCAGCTATCTAGGGGGTCCGGGGCTATGCCCCCTCCTGGAAAATTGTGAATTTAAGTCATCTGAAATGGCTGGAAATGCATCTAAAATTAACAAGCGTGGTGCAAATTACCAACTTTCAGCACTTAAAAAGCGACTGTTTTTAATACAAGAATCATCATTTATTATCCGGGTCTTTAATTCAGAGAGTTGTCCATTTTTCGAAAAACAATCAGAGATTTTTGTAGATATTTTCTTTCCAACAACCAGAAGTCTTCGTTAATTATGCTCATTTTACCATGTGCGCTTCTCTGAGCTGTGTATAATTCTCAGTTTAAAGTATCTATGGCGATAAAAATGTTGTCATAAAAACGTTTCTCTATAAAACGCAAGATACAGCTGCTTAATAGCATAAAGTCAGTCAACTCTAAATTATCTCAACTCTTGATATTTGTTTCTACTTTGCTAATGGTCATTGCAAATTTTGTCCGTTGCGAACTACTGCAGATCAAAAAGAAAATGTTATCACCAGCTTCCAGTAAAAAAACGTTACTGTAGTGAAATGACTCATGGAAATTTATTATTATTATTATTTTTTAGAAAAGTGGGGGGGCTAAAGCCTCCCAGCCCCTCCCTCTGCGCGGTCCCTTGAATGGCCAAGGAAAGAAGTAACTGCCTGTAGACTGACACATTCTTCCCATCCTGCTTGGCTGCTTCAATTGCTGAATGGTAAATTTCGTCAAAGGTGGTTCCTTGACACCAATAAAGTGAGTCCAGAAACATATCAGCTTTCACCAAGACCTCAAACACACGGTTGGCTGTTTTTAGAATCTGAAACAACCCTCCATTAGACTTTAAAACAATACCTTGTTCGTCTTCATAAAAGTCAATAAATGCCGACATGGAGTATCCTGTAAGAAACTGTTCATTTAGGTTCTCGAATCGGGAGACATAAATGCATTTAAACGGGCTTTTGAGTTAACAAGCGTTCCTTTCATTTCCTGTTCTCCCTTTTCTCTTGCAAATGACTGCAGAAGTGTATGCATTAAGAAGGGCTTAGGTTTGGAACTTGAATCCAGAAGAGATTTTCTTCTAAGCCTATGTAATAACTTCTTTGCCTGGGAAATTTGTGATATACCCAGAACAGCTGCAGCAACCGTCAAATCAAAACTATCTGGAAGAACACTCAAGGACACAAGAGCTTCTTTCTCTTGCACAGAGAGTCTCTGAAAAGAGGAGTCAATAAAAGTTTTAGTCTCAGATTGCTCGGATAATCTGGATTGTCCAACACCTCGAGAATATTCGACCCCATGAACTCATCTAGAAATTGACTCGGTTTTAGCATCATCTTCAGAAATGTATGAAACATAATACCGTTATGGCCAAAGGGACATGCCCACAGATTTCTGTAATCTTTATGCAGTCAGAAGAGGTGGCATTTGGGAGTAATTCATGAACTAGGTCTTGGGAAGAGGACTCATCTAATGGTCTTATTCTCACTGCATGGTGGCCTTGAAAATGCACATTCATAAATTCAAAAGATTCCCTTGTGGTAATAACCAATGTCATCTTTTCGGTTTGTCTGAAAATTTCATGAAGAAATTCTATAAAGTCTTCCTTCACCTTCGGCATGCCACTTTGAAACAACTCATCGGCATTATCAAGAATCAGCACAATGCGATCTGATATCTCGCTAAAAAGTTGGAAAAGCTCATCATCAAGCGAAAGACGCTGAGGTGGTTGAGAATTTGTGGCGGGTTTTCTAAAAAGGCTAAGAAGCTTCGATGTCAAATCGGCTTTAGACTTAAATCCGCGTAAGGAGAGGAAGTAGACTGGCAATCCTTGCAAATGGAGATGATGTTCCACTTCCATTGCAACCGACGTTTTTTCCGAATCCGGGTGAACCCCAGATCGACACGATTCGTGTAGATCCAGACGTCACGTGACCAGTGATCTCTTTGCACTCTTTCTGGCGTCCAGGAAGCCATGATCTTGGTAGCGAAGTATCTTTTAAAAGGCAAAATAATAGCAATCATTAATTGTTTTAATTGAATAAGTGGTCACCGCAGCCAGTTATGAATGCAACTTTTTGCAATTGCATTATAAGCCAGAAAAAATTCTGGCCTCGACGGGATTCGAACCCATGACCTCCGCGTTACTAGTGCGATTCTCTACCACTGAGCTATGAGATATGGGAAGGGGGGAGGGGGGGGGGGGGGGGGGAGGATCTACGTTAGCGGAAAGCGGAAAAAGAGAGGGCGAGAAGCGGGATTACCAAGGTGGCGGAAACAGGGAGAAATAGGAAAATCGTTTTCGCAACATTGTGAAATATTTCGCAATATATATCTGTCTAAATTTGATAAAACGTACCTCCCGAAATTTCATACAAAACTATAGATTTCATGCAAACAGAGCTTTTAATAGCGGCTAATAAGAGGTCAAATAACGTGAAATGACTCTATCGTATGTCTTTTTAGACCAAGCATACTAAATTTACAGCATTGTTATTGAATCGTGAGTTCTACAATTTAATTAAAATGCTTTGCAACATGAAATGTGATACCAAGGAAATCAAACCAAAACTGTAATTCGGAGAGCTGACTTGAAGCTTTCTAAAGCGATACATCGCCTCAAATGAACTGGAAAAGAACCTTACACATGGACGAATAATTAATTCCTAAAACATTCAGGATTAAAAAGCAACACTGGCTCATTTTAAATATGTAGCAGAGAGACTGAGAGAGTGTTCGATACGTCATATGGCTAATGTCAATTTCAAACACCGGAACCCACGCTATCAAATAGCTTAGCACCGACAAATCACAGAAATATCTACCCACGTGAACAGCTAAAACTCATCAAACGAAACTTTTTTACTCACATGAACGCTTGAAGTCAACTTGAAAGCATTCTTCGCGGCTGCGAACTTTGCTGTTTGTACGCCATTTTAACCAATACCCCGGATGTTCAAAGCAGCCGTGAAAAGGGGAAGGCAGCCTTCCGTTATATACAGATTTGTTATAAGACTTTAGCCACAGAACATTTCAAGCCAAATCACGTTAGGAACGCCTAGAAATGTCCGCTTAATTCCATATCCGAGCCCTAATTGATGTGGCTAAAGTCTTCTGCTGTCTAAAAAAAGCCCGCATTATCGTTACCTCAAACAACCAAATAATTGTCAACCCGTGGAGGATTCGTTTTGAGGTAGGATAATAGCCGACGCATAACCAGCTAATCGTAAGACTTCCACCTTCTCTGGACTTAATGATGTCCTCCAGTGCACTTTTTTTAGACAGCAATACAGAAAGCTACAAATCGGCTCGCTTCTCCGAATCCGCGCGCGCTACTGAGATTCAAATCAACAGCCGTTTACCTTCGTTGCTATTGGAGAAGAATGGGGCCGAGAGAGTAAATCAATATTGGGAGTGGACACTGGCGGTGGGGGTGGGGGGGGGGGGGGGGTATGGGGGGTGTACTAAACCATTACTGAAAATAGACTATTGAAACATTAGCAGGCAGATGTGATGCCAACTAGGGCGAATAACCTCCCCCACCCCCTATAGCTACTGCCGCCCATAAAACCTTTGTAAATTGAATAAATTTAGCCATATCCTTCAGGTACGTTTTGTAAAATTTAGACAGAATATACCTATGTTGCACTGACACTCCTTTTTAGCGCATTTTAACTTGAAATAAACCGCAATATTTATGTAAAAAACCGTTTTGATCATGAAGAAATGACTTTAAGAGCCAGGGTATAATTTGCTAGGGTATAATTTATCAGTGGCTTGCAGCACTTATTTATAAATAATCTGTGACACTCTTTAGTGTATTCACTCTACGCGAATAGCTTCAATACGGCCTTACTTAAGGCTTGTATGTCCAATCATTGTGAAAAGAGCTTGTAGAGACGCAAAACTATGATTTCAGTTCCTATATTCCGGCTAAAAGTGGCCTTTGAGTTTATATTGTTTTGAACTAATAACCTATGTTGCACTGACACACCTTTTTAGCGGCATTTTAACTTGAAATAAACCGCAATATTTATGTAAAAAACCGTTTTGGATCATGAAGAAATGACTTTAAGAGCCAGGGTATAATTTGCTAGGGTATAATTTATCAGTGGCTTGCAGCACTTATTTATAAATAATCTGTGACACTCTTTAGTGTATTCACTCTACGCGAATAGCTTCAATACGGCCTTACTTAAGGCTTGTATGTCCAATCATTGTGAAAAGAGCTTGTAGAGACGCAAAACTATGATTTCAGTTCTATATTCCGGCTAAAAGTGGCCTTTGAGTTTATATTGTTTTGAACTATCTGTCTAAATTTGATAAAACGTACCTCCCGAAAATTTCATTCAAAACTTATAGATTTCATGCAAACAGAGCTTTTAATAGCGGCTAATAAGAGGTCAAATAACGTGAAATGACTCTATCGTATGTCTTTTTAGACCAATGCATACTAAATTTACAGCATTGTTATTGAATCGTGAGTTTCTACAATTTAATTAAAATGCTTTGCAACATGAATGTGATACCAAGGAAGATCAAACCAAAACTGTAAATATCGGAGAGCTGAACTTGAAAGCTTTGTCCTAAAGCGATAACAATCGCCCCCTATCAAAGTGAACTGGAAAAAGAACCTTTACGACATGGAACGAATAATTAATTCCTAAACATTCAGGATTAAAAGCAACACTGGCTTCAATTTTAAAATATGTAGCAGAGAGACTGAGAGAGTGTTTCGATACGTCATATGGCTAATGTCTCCAATTTCAAAACACCGGAAAACGCCCACGCTAAATCAAATAAGCTTATAGGGTTAGCAAACACCCACCGGACAAAATCAACAGAAATATCTAACGAACCCCCTAGTGAACAGCTAAAACTCATCAAAACCGAAAACTTTTTTTACTTTAACTCTCACATCATGAAGGAAAACGCTTGAATTCAACTTGGAAGCCATTCTTCGCGGGCTGCGAACTTTGCTGTTTGTGACGCGCATTTTAACCAATACCCCGGATTGTTCAAAGCTGGCCGTGAAAGGGGGAAGGCATAGCCTTCCCGTTATAATACAGATTTGTTATAAGACTTTAGCCTACAGAACATTTCGAAGCCAAATCACGTTAAGGAATCGCAGCACGACGAGGAAACGGAAAGGAAACGCCTACCTAATAGAAATGTCCGCTTTAAACTTAAAATTAATTATTCCATATCCGAGCCCTAATTGATGTGGCTAAAGTCTTCTGCTGTCTAAAAAAAGCCGCGCATTATTCGTGTACGCTGTTCAAGACAACCAAATAATTGTCAACCCGTGGAGGATTCGTTTGAGAGGTAGGATAAATAGTGCCGTCTCGCCGGCACGCATAACCAGCTAATCGTAAGACTTTTCCTGCTTGTTTTTTACTTATTTTCCCACCTTGGTCTCGTGGCTGGGACTTAATGATGTCCCGTCCAGTGCACTTTTTTTTTTTTTTTTTTTTTTTTAGACAGCAAATACAGAAAGCATACAAAGTCGGCTTCTTCTCTTTCGCTTTCCCTCTCCGAATCCGCGGCGCGCTACTGAGGATTCAAATCAACAGAGGAGGCCGTTTACCTTCGTTGTCTATCGGAGAAGAATGGGGCCGAAGAGAGTAAATCAATATTGGGACAGTGGGACACTAAGCTAAGGGGTGGGGGGGGGGGGGGGGGTGGGGGGGGGGGGGGGGTGGGGGGGGGGGGGGGGGTGGGTATGGGGGGTGTACTAAACATTACCTGAAAAAGACTATTGAAAACATTAGCATGCAGATGTGATGCCAGACTAGGGCGAATACCTCACCCCGCCACCCCCCTAAATAGCTACTGCCCTGCCGCATAAAACACCTTTGTAAATTGAATAAATTTTAGCCATTTCCCTTTCAGGTACGTTTTTTGTAAAAATTTAGTACAGAATATAATTAGGTAATAAGGTACTGGCAATTAATTACCGAGGAGGGGGGGGTTGGGGGGGGCGGGGGGG